CTCGAATCGTTCGTTGAAGTTCGGAAAATTTAGAGAGATAAAGTTTAGAGAGATGAAATCCAAAAAAGGGTTAAGGGCAAAAGAGTAAATGGGGGGGCGGTGACTAGTAAAAGGGGGGCGGTGAATAGCAATTGAGTTTTTTATTTTCAATTTTTGCAAATCAAAATACGCTGACAACAAAACGACAGCTTTATGTGTCTGGCTCGTAAACGTGAAGGAATAACGACTCATCAAAATATTGAAGAAAAATACACACCATCTTATAAAAAACTAGTACGTATTCCGTGCAGGACATAAATATTAAATAAGTTATTTTTACATGTTTTGTCCGTTTAAGTATATGAAGCAATAGGGTTATCATTTATTTTTTACATCTTTTATTCAACGTTAAGTATAATAAACAATAAGGTTACAATTTATTTTGCACCTCCTTTAATCAACGTTGTTTTTTTAGTCAAAACATAAATATGAGCATGTTAGAGCTAGTTTGTAAAATAATTAATATTATCTCACTAACACATTTATACTAATATAAATTTGATTTTAGTATATATATATATATATATATATTTATTCCTTGATATAAGAGAGAATAACAATTTTACTTATTCTTGTTCATTATATAATACTTCATTATTATTTTATTATAAACTTTATTGTCATATAATGTAATTATTATTTATAAAGTTATAGATTTTGTACGTCTTCTTTTTCTTTTTTATTTTATGTAATGAAAAATATTTAATGCACATTAATGTTATTTATTTATGTAATCAATTTATAATATGTAAATAAATTTAAAATTAAATAGTGTATAAATATTTTACAAAATATACACATGTTTTTTTAGAATTTAATTTTGTATACTAATTAAACAACTTTGATTTAGAAAATGTCAAAAACTCAATCCCTTCTAGCATAATCTACAATGAAAATATATTTACAAGAATTTAATTGTAGAAATAAATCAAAAAAAAAAAAATAATAATCATGGGTGTCAATAATATGCAAATAAATTCTAAAAAAATAGTTAACATATTTCAATTTTAATTTTTTACCATTAGTAAAACTATTTAATGTATCTTATCTCTTAAATGGTAAATTATATTAATTTGAAGAACAATTTATTTTTTATATTTAACAAAATAAAGCTTAAGAAAAAAATATATTGGTAAAGGTTAATTCAATAACTTGGTTTTGTCTGATTACTTGGAAAAAAAATTCTACCTCACCTGTTACGATTTTCCATAAATATTTTTGGATAAAAAGTAAATATTTGTGAAAAAAAATTAATATTATGGTTAGAACTTAAAATATAGTGTAATATTTATCTTGACCAAAATATTATCAACATGGATCATGGAAATCAATCTTGTAATTTATTATAATGAATATCAATGAGAGTATTATACATATTAATAAAATAATATTTATCTTGACCAAATTATTATCAACATGAATCACGAAAAATCAATCTTGTAATTTATTATAATAAATATCAATGAAAATGTTGCAGATATTAATAAGTTTATTTAAGTAATTTTTTGATCATATCTTATTTGATCTTATTTGAAAACGTGCATATGGGAGCAATTAATGCATATATTTAGAAAGTTTCTAAAAATGGTATGCATTAAATGTTTTCTAAATTTTTGGCTACTATTTTTAGTAAATGGTAATACTTATTATATATATATGGATATATATATATATATATATATATATATATATAACACTTGTAGAAGTAATATATTTGTTATATAATGATAAATAGGTAATGTATATTAATATTATTTATTGATGTAATTAATTTAAAAAGATATAAGCAAATTTAATGTTTGGTAGAATTGTAATTATATGTAAGTTGAGATAAAATGAAATGTATCAAAAAAATTTGCTTATGATATTTTCCTTTAAATGTTTGAATGAATTTAAAATTCAAATTACAAATCAACCTCCAGTTATTTAAATAATTTTAAAAAAGTTACCAATTGTAGTAAAATGTACGTGACAATATATTATAAATATACATGACGTCAGTAATGTTATGAATCTTTAAGTTCATAAAATATATATTGTTTAGATATGAAACTAATTAACTTATATGTTAAGATAATATATATAAATATATGTATTGTACGAAATATACACGTGACAAGTTATTATATTTGTTTATATATTGTTCGTATATTTGTTTGTATTGTTTATTATATTTGTTTATATATTGTTTAAATATATATTGTTTAGATATGAAACTAATTAACCTATATGTTAAGATAATATATATAAATATATGTATTGTATGAAATCTTTAACGTGTTTGTTAAATTTTTCCCCTAAAAAATTCAAAATACATTTAGGCATGTTTTGTTTGAAGTTTGAAATTCAAATATGCATCTATATAACAAATCCCATGATTTATGCTAGCATTAAATGTTACTTGATTTTTTATTAGAAAAATTTAAAAAACATATCAAAAATAGAATGCAATTAATATTTCTTATTTTTTTGCTTATTATTTTTGAAAAATGTTAATTCTTATTATATATATATATATTATAACTCTTTGGAAATCTAATTTATAATGTTTGGGAAAAATTCACGAATTTTGACTTCTCAACTTACTTGTTTACACTAAGAGTGGATGTGAATATATTCAAACATAATTAGAGAATTCGAGTCCGACATAACACAAATAATAGAATTTCAAAGTTTTTGGTGTGCAAAATGAGAACATCAACTTTAACCTTAGTTATATGTATAATATAAATTTATATTGCCCTTATAATTTATAAAAATGATAGATTTAATCAATATGTTCATTTTAATTGATATTTGCTCATTTTTAACTTATATTTCTATGTAAACCGACATATTTATGATATTAATCAATATAACAGTTAAATTACCTATTATCTATATAATTGTGACTATTGAAAGTGAGTAATCAATATAGCAAATAGTATAGTTTTATGTTGTTCATTTTCATCTGTTTCAAAATTCGACTGAAAATACCCAAGAGCACGTGGGTGAGATGGTTGGGGTCTCTCCCAGCTTAACCAGAGGTCTCGAGTTCGAGCCCTGGGAATGCAGCTGTGTTAAAACTCTTGAGGTAGAGCTTTGCCGCCCTTGTGGTCCTACCCGGCTCGATTCCGGATTAGTCGGTCCCCTAGGGGATTCGGAAACCGGAAGGTTCATTGTACCAAAAAAAAAAAANACTGAAAATAATTAACGTCATAATAATTTATACAATTGTGACATTTAACATCTTATATTATTTCATAAATACCCAATATTTTTACGTATCCCGCGGGTGACGCTAGTATAGATATATAATACCTTCCTAGGTGAGATCTAATTTGGACTTTAAGCTTCAGTCAAACGCTTTTTTGTCGTATAAGCTTGTGAATGCTATTCACTTACCAAATCTGAGATATTTTATTGCTCCAGATTTTGCTATATTTGTTTTCATTCACGTGTATATCAACAGTATACATTTGGAAATTAATTGACAACACGAGGACAAAGTCATCAATAGGTAAGAAAAAG